AAGCAACGGACAGGCACGGAAGGTTTCTGAACAGGGAAGTAATCAAATTAAAACAGGGCCCTGAGCGCCGCCCTGCATTCCCAGTCAGGGCACAGGCCTGGGTTGTGGGCCAGGTCCTCTGTAGGGGGGCGCATGAGGGGCAACCGCACACTGATGTTTCTCTCCCTCTCTTCCCCTCTCTCTACAAATAATCTTTAAAAAATTAAAAATAGGTTTGCCAAATAAATGTTTAGAAAAAGCAGTAATTATGAGCAGTAATTATAAGAAGCAATCCTCTCCTCAGTGAGCTCTCTTTTTGCAGAACCATTAATAAATACACCTCTACTGACCTAAGATATACTACATTTCAATTTCACTTTGATGAAGAAATATGAATCACAACAGAATAAAATGTGACTACAAAAGTCAATTAAAATGAAGAGTTAATTCTAGAATAATTTTAAACCTCTAAATTAGCCCTGGCTGGTGTAGCTCAGTGGATTAAACACAGGTCTGCAAGCCAGAGGATTGCAGTTCGATTCCCAGTCAGGGCACATGCCTGGGTTGCAGGCTGGTTCCCTGCAGGCCAGTTCCCAGCAGGGGATGCATGAAAGGCAACCATACATTGATGTTTCTCTCCCTCTCTCCTTCCCCTCTAAAGATAAATAAATAAAATCTTAAAAAGAAAAAAAAACCCTCTAAATTATGTCTACTTGTCAGACATTTTATTTACTTATAATTTTACCACTTAAATTTGTGTTTTATATTCAATAACTTTCACATTCAGAAATTTTGTGTGACTCCAGTCAAATTTAGTCTTTGCTGAGCATATACTATGTTAAAATAAAGAGTTATTATAAGACAGTGCTAAACTCTGGCTACTCCCTAAGCAAAATCTCAAAAATACCCTTATTTATGTCATTCCTTTGTTTCTCTCTAACATAATGTCAGATGTTTAAAAGTCTAAGCAGGACCCTGACCAGTGTGGCACAGTTGGCTGGGCATTGTCCCGCAAAGCAAAGTTTGCTGCTCTAATTCCCCGCCAGGGCACATGCCTGGGTTGCGGGTTTGGTTCTCGGTTGGAGTTCTCTCCCTCTTTTTCTCCCTTCCTTCCTTCCTCTCTCTCTAAAAACTAATAAATAAAATATCTTTTAAAAATTAAAATAAATAAAAGTCTAAGCATAACCCTGACCTCTTTGGAGAGCAGACACCACAAAAACTCAGTGAAAAGCAGAATATAAAATTATACCAAAGCTCCTACAAATGTACTTTTAGGCTCATGCTCTCCCCTCATTCTGAATGTAGAATTAATATAAGTCCTCATTTTACATTCTCTTCATGAAAAAGTCAGACAAAATATATACCTCCAAAGTGTTTTTGGAAACACAGGCAAGGTGGGCTGTGTTTTCACAGTGCATACTTACTGTGTGAGAACCGCTGAGTGATTGGGGTTCCAGGATAAGGGTACGTCCGACTCTCCCACTGGATGTTTCCTTCCTGAACAGCCTTTATGAAACCATGGTAACACTGGTGGGCTACACCTACAGATGAAAACAACAAAGGCTTCAGCCTGGGCACTTCGCTTATGTCCGATTATTAAAACTGCATTTATTAAATGTCCTATCACTTTTATAAGACATAAATTTCTTTGAGATACTTCAAAAAAAAAAAACCACACCTCTAAAGATACTTCAAAAAAAAAAACACCTCTAAAAATTCAAATTTCTTTGATTTTTTCATTCAGGAAAAGAAAACTGAATCATATACTTCTAAAACTGGAAGATCCAATCCTTTCATTCTCCAGGTTCAGGAAGGTTAAGTGACTTGCTCAAGGTTACAAAATTAGCTCCTACTGTAACTCCGCTCCCTTTTGTTATATTATGATGCAACCCATCCAATAACTGGTATTAGTTATTATAAAGCAAAGGGGCTGGAGGGCAATGTAGCTTTGTGACTGAGAGTATGGTAAGACAGTACCTGGAACTTAATAAGTACTCAGTAAATATCTATCATTAGAACATGGCAACTAAGCATTCTCCATCTTAAACAAGGAGATAAAATTTAGTTTACAATGGATTATTGTTTATCACTAAGCTATTATTTATAATCAAGAAAAATCTATTTAAAAAAAGGAGAACTTGGGTCAATTTTGCTCTGCGACATATGTCAGTTTGACTAAAAAACTCACAAAAATTTTACAAAATAAGTGATAACTTTTACTATAATGGCATATACAGGTCTTTATACTTTTGTCCAAACCCAGAATGTTCACCAAATGTGAACCCTAATACCACCTATGGACTTTGGGCCCTGATGATGTATCAGTGTAGGTTTATCCGCTGTAACAAACCCAGCGCTCTGCTGGGGCACGCTGACATAGGGAGGGAGGGCTGTGCGCGCTGTGCCAGGGGTGTATAAAATATCTCTGACCCTGCTCAATTTTGCTGTGAACCTAAAAACACTTTAAAAAATAAAGTCTATTTTTAGCCCTGGCTGATATAGCTCAATGGATTGAGCACATGCTGAGAACCAAGGGGTCGACTGCTCAATTCTTGGTCGGGGTACATACCTGGGTTGCAGGCCAGGTCCCCAGTTGGGGGTACACAAGAGGCAACCACACACTGATGTTTCTCTCCCTCTCTTTCTCCCTCCCTTCCCGTGTCTAAAAATAAATAAATCTTAAAAAAAAAAATACAGCATAGCTAGTATCCTCAACATTTAGCTAAAGCTGAACTTTTGATTACAAAGTGAAGGGAAAAAGGGGAGAAACTCATTTTAAAAAGCAACAGGTATCCATAACATAAGGACTGTGCTGTTTATAGAGATATGGGGTAAATGCTCTTACAAATCCACATTCGCCACAATTAGCCACTTTTCAAAAGATATATATTTTATAGGTTATGCTATTATAGCTGTCCTATTTTTCCCCCCTACACTCCCTTCCACCCTGAACCTCCCTCCCACCAGCATTCCGCCACCTTAGTTCATGTCCTTGGGTCATACCTATAAGTTCTTTGGCTTCTCCATTTCCCATACTATGCCTAACTTCCCCTGTCTATTTTGTACCTACCATTTATGCTTCTTCCTATACCTTTTTCCCCATAGACCTCCCTTCCTGCTGATAACCCTCAATGTAATCTCCATTTCTGTGATTGTGTTCATGTTCTAGTTGTTTGCTTAGTTTGTGTTTGGTTTTTTTCAGGTTCAGTTGTTCATGGTTTGAGTTTGTTATTATTTTACTGTTCATATTTTTAATCTTTTTCTTTTTTTTACATTTTTTAAAATTTATTTTATTAATTATGCCATTACAGTTGTTCTATTCCCCCCTTCATTCCCCTCCACCCTGCACACCCCTGCCCCACCATTCCCCCCTTTAGTTTATGACATGTCTCAAGTTCTTTAGATTCTACATTTCCCATACTATTCTTGCCCACCCCCATCTATTTTCTACCTACCATCTGTGCTACTTATTTTCTGTACCTTCTCCCTCCTTCTCCTTCTCCCACTCCCCTGTTGCTAATCCTCCATGTGATCTCCATTTCTATGGTTCTGCTCATGATCTAGCTGTCCTCTTAGTTTGCCTTTGTTTTAGGTGTGGCTGTTAATAACTGTGAGTTTGCTGTCCTTTCACTGTTAATATTTTTTATCTTTTTCTTAGGTTAAGTCCCCTTAACAATTCATATAATAAGAGCTTGGTGATGATGAACGCCTTGAATTTGATCTAATCTGAGAAGCACTTTATCTGCCCTTCCATTCTAAATGAAAGCTTTGCTGGATAGAGCAATCTTGGATGTAGGTCTTTGCCTTTCATGACTTGGAATACTTCTTTCCAGCCCCTTCTTGCCTGTAAGGTGTCTTTTGAGAAATCAGCTGACAGTCTGATGGGAACTCCTTTGTAGGTGACAGTCCCCTTATCTCTTGCTGCTTCTAGGATTCTCTCCTTCATTTTAATCTTGGCTAATGTAATGATGCTGTGCCTTGGTGTGTTCCTTCTTGGGTCCAACTTCTTTGGGACTCTCTGAGCTTTCTGGATTTCCTGGAAGTCTGTTTCCTTTGCCAGATTGGGGAAGTTATCCTTTATTATTTGTTCACATAGGTTTTCCACTGGTTGGTCTTCCTCTTCCCCTTCTGGTACCACTGTAATTCAGATGTTGCAATGTTTAAAGATGTCCTAGAGGTGCCTAAGCCTCTCCTCATTTTTTTGAAATCTTGTTTTCTCGTTTTGTTCTGGTTGAATATTTCTTTCTTCCTTCTGGTCCACTCCCTTGATTTGAGTCCCAGTTTCCTTTCCATTACTATTGGTTTCCTGTGTATTTCCATTCATTTCAATTAGTTTAGCCTTCATATGTTCCTCTAATTTGTGACTAAAATCAACCAGTTCTGTGAGCATCCTGATCACCAGTGTTTTGAACTGCGCATCTGAAAATTTGGCTATTTCTTCATCACTTAGATTTCTCGGCTCTGGGGCTTTGAGTTGTTCTTGAGCCATGTTTTGATCTGTTTGTGCCTGTTACTTATGAGAAGCGGAGCCGTAGATGTTCACCAGTGCAGGGCCACCCAGGTCAGTGTTTTGTGACACTATGTGTGGGGGCGAGGTCAGAGAGGGACAATGGCAGTTCCCTCTGCCGCTTCCTGCCACTGGGGCCTGCGTGGTCCATCTCACTGCTAGCTCCTCACCGGTTTATCTGCGCACAAATGTGTGACCGCAATCAGCCTTCAGTGAGTCTGCACGCTTTTCCACACCTGGGACCCGCCCACAGCTGCTGGCGCACCTGGGTCGTGTTCCCGGGTCAGTCCGGTGTATTTTTCCTGCCCAACCCCGCTCTGCTGCTGGCTCTGCCCCTCTTACTGGTTTGGCTGAAGGGTTCACTGTTGTCAGATTTCCGTGTAGTTCAATTTTCTGTGGTTTGGCTGCATTTTTGTTGCTAAAACTTTGTTGTTTTTAAACTTAGTTATGTAAGAAGGCACAGTGCTTCCACCTATGCCTCCATCTTGGTGGAAGTCTATTTATCTTTTTCTTAAAAACTACAGAACGCTTCATGAATTTGCGTGTCATTCTCATGCAGGGCCATGCTAATGTTCTCTGTATTGTTCCAATTTTAGTATATGTGCTTCCAAAGGGAGCACACAGTTAGCCACTTTAAGAAGCACTATGGTATCCTCACAAAGAACAAGGGCTTTAACGACAGACTGCCTGACTGTAAACCATTGATCCTTAATTTACTACCTGTGTGACCTGGATGAGCTACTCAGCTGCACCTCACCCAGTGTCTGCATCTATCATAGTATGCTGAGGACTGTAAAGCAGTTACAACAGTGCCTGACAATGGTAAGAGCCATATTAATGTTAGCTGTTACTGTTATATCTATCCCCTCTTCGCCTATTCAAGAGCAATGTAATTTACCACATCAACTCTAAGAATATGCAGAAAATAACCTTCATTTAAAAATTTCAAATTGATTAAATATTATAGTCTTCAAGCTGCTCATAAAACTAACCAGGGTAGACTTCCAGCCAAGATAGAGGCGTAGGTAAAAACATTGTGCCTCCCCACACAACTAAGTTTAAAGACAACAAAGTTTTAGTAACAAAAACGCAGCCAAAACACAGAAAACTGAACTATACAGAAGTCCGACAACAACAAACCATTCATTCAGACTGGTAAGAGGGGCGGAGTCAGTGGTGGAGCAGGGTCGGGCAAGAAAGATCAGCCAGACCAACCCAGCAGCTCAGGAGGGCAGGCAGCAGGCAGTTGGCGGGTCCCAGGCTTAGGGGGGGCAACAGGCAGACCCAGTGAGGGCGCAGGGCAGCTGGCTGACCGTGGACACACATTCATGTGCAGATAAACCAAGGGAAGGAGCAGGCAGTGGCCTGAGTGACAAGAATTAGAGCCTGAAAGCACCAATTGCAAAGACTTTTGGGGTCCAGGTGGCGGGAAAAGCTCCCAGGCTCACAGAGAGTTTGTTGAGAAACCCACAGGGTCCTGGAGGGTGCACAAGCCCACATAACTGAGAACCAGCAACAGAAGGGACCAATTTGTTTGTGGAAAGCGGCAGAGGGGACAGAAATCTGAAAGAGATCAGAGCAAACGCCACTGCCCCTCTCTGACCCCGCCCCCACATAGAGTCACAACCCAGCAACTGGGTCCTACCCGGCCCTGGTGAAAACCTAAGGCTCCACCCCTAGAACGTAACAGACTTGACCTGACCAAAACATGGCTCAAGAACAGCTCAAAGCCCCAGAGCCAATACTTCTAAGTGACCAAGAGATAGCCAAGCTTTCAGACACACAGTTCAAAACACTGATGATCAGGATGCTCACAGAGTTGGTTAATTTTAGTCACAAATTAGAGGAATATATGAAGGTTAAACTAATTGAAATGAAGGGAGATACACACAGGAAACCAATAGTGATGGAAAGGAAACTGGGACTCAAATCAAGGGAGTGGACCAGAAGGAAGAAAGAAATATTCAACCAGAACAGAACGAGATAACAAGATTTCAAAAAAATGAGGAGAGGCTTAGGAACCTCTAGGACATCTTTAAACACTGCAACATCTGAATTACAGTGGTACCAGAAGGGGAAGAGGAAGACCAACAAGTGGAAAACCTATGTGAACAAATAATAAAGGATAACTTCCCCAATCTGGCAAAGGAAACAGACTTCCAGGAAATCCAGAAAGCTCAGAGAGTCCCAAAGAAGTTGGACCCAAGAAGGAACACACCAAGGCACATCATCATTACATTACCCAAGATTAAAATGAAGGAGAGAATCCTAGAAGCAGCAAGAGATAAGGGGACTGTCACCTACAAAGGAGTTCCCATCAGACTGTCAGCTGATTTCTCAAAAGACATCTTACAGGCAAGAAGGGGCTGGAAAGAAGTATTCCAAGTCATGAAAGGCAAAGACCTACATCCAAGATTGCTCTATCCAGCAAAGCTTTCATTTAGAATGGAAGGGCAGATAAAGTGCTTCTCAGATAAGGTCAAGATCAAGGAGTTCATCATCACCAAGCCCTTATTATATGAAATGTTAAGGGGACTTAACCTAAGAAAAAGATAAAAAATATTAACAGTGAAAGGACAGCAAACTCACAGTTATTAACAACCATACCTAAAACAAAAGCAAACTAAGCAAACAACTAGAACAAAAACAGAACCACAGAAATGGAGATCACATGGAGGGTTATCAGCAGGGGAGTGGGAGGTGGAGAGAGGGGGGAGAAGGTACAGAGAATAAGTAGCATAGACAGAGGGGAGAAAATAGGGGGAGGGCAAGAGTAGTGTGGGAAATGTAGAATCTAAAGAACTTGTGACACATGGACATAAACTGAAGGGGGGAATGGTGGGGGAGGGGTGTGCAGGGTGGAGGGGAATGAAGGGAGGGAATAGGACAACTGTAATGGCATAATCAATAAAATATATTAAAAAAAAAAAAGAAAAAAACTAACCAGGGCAAAGCTTGGCTGGTATAGCTCAGTGGATTGAGCATGGGCCTGTGAAGCAAAGGGTAGCTGGTTCGATTCCCAGTCAGGGCACATGCCTGGGTTGCAGGCCAGGTCCCCAGTAGGGGACATAGGAAAGGCAACCACACACTGATGTTTCTCTCCCTCTCTTTCTCCTTCCTGTCCCCTCTGTCTAAAAATGAATAAGTATTAAAAAAAAAAAACAACTAACGAGGGTAAAGAGAAAAGGGAAATGTACAATGTTAACTAACACTAAATTTTAGAACCACAGTAAATTTAAGGAAGAAAAGAGAAAATAAAATTGAAAGTTTAAAAGTAAACCATTCCAACAAATTTTAAATAAATACATAAGCCTCTCCAGTTTCCCCAATACCTTTGATGAGCCGGTACCACTGTTTGCAGACAAGGGCTGCGGTTTTGTGTTCCTGGTACGGCGACAGAAAGGACAGGATGTACTCCAAAACCTCTTCCGGCAGCTCGGACATGGACCTGTTATGTCTAGTCTCCTCAACCTCTAATACTGGCTGAGGCTCCTCATCTTGCTCCATCGTCCCTTCCAGCACAGTTTCTTCTTGGTCCACCGCCATGAAACTGTCATCTTCGCTGTCCGAGGAGCTGGCCATGACATTCCACTAGACAGCTACAGTGGGAAAGAAATGGACATGAGTGTACACTGCTGGGAGCTCTGAAACAGCATGGGCACACGCACAAGCCATTCAGGACTGGTTCGAGACCCTCAACAGGAAGTCTGCTCTTCAGCACTGGTTGGGAGCCACCTTAATTTGATAGGCACAGCTCGAGTACCAAGCCCATTCCAAATATCAAACAGCTGCTACAGGCTTGTTATTTTTTTCACACCACTGAAAACTATGATAGCCAAGTTCTAGTATAACCAGAAAACAAGAAAAATGGTTCTCCAACAATTTCCCTCGCTCAAAGATCAGACTGGAAGACAGCAAAGGGAACAACGATTTGCTTCCCTTGGCCAGTACCATAACTTAAGACCTCAAACTTAGAAGGAAAAAATAACTGGGTGCTACAAAAAGTAGTAAGAAATTCTGAGGATGTGATTTTAGAAGTAAATTTTTCTAGCTTTTACACAAGGTAATTCACTTAAAAGGGTAATAAATGTTCCAAGAATAGGCCTAATCAGCTAAAACATCAAATACAAGGCAATATTTATACTAGAAAATATCATAATAAGTCCAGGAAGTGAAAAACTGGAAATAATACAAATGCCCCTCAACAATAGAACATTCAGCTCTATTGTGGTACACTCAGACAGATCATTGTACAGCAAGGAGCCACAGATAAGTCTCAACATAATACTGAGCAAAAGAAATCAGCGGAGCCCTGGCTGGTGTAGCTCAGTGGATTGAGCGTGGGCCTGCGAACCAATGGATCATGGTTTGATTCCAAGTCAGGGCACATGCCTGGGTTGCAGGCCAGATCCCAGCATGGGATGCATGAGAGGCAAACATACATTGATATTTCTCTCCTTCTCCCCTTCCCCTCCCAAGATAAATAAAATCTTAAAAAAAAAAAAAAAAGGAAATCAGGAGAGCACATCCACATGACCATGCTTGTATCAAATTCAAAACTAGGCAAAATTACTTGCTACCACAAGTAAGGACAGTGCTTTGGCAACCACTGGGAGGCTCCTAGGCTGCTGGTCAAGTTGTTTCCTACTAGATAATAGTTACACAGAATGGTTCAGTTTGTGAAAAATTCACCAAGCTGAATACTTAATGCTTAATGTACTTCTCTAAAGTTTACCAAATCAAGCCATGATCAAGTTACCTCTAGTGAAGATAATTAATTAAAAAAAAAAAAACGATTTTGGGTGACTTTAAAATTTCTTCTTTGTGCTATCCGTATTCTCTAAATTTTCCAGAAAGAGTGTACATGTTAAACATACACACAGAAGCAACACCTTTATACTACTCCTCTGATGTTTCATGCAATGCCTACGGTAAAAAGAGGAACATGAAAGAAAGGACAATTTACATAGGAAGTGCATCGCAGGTTAGATTCTCCAGGAAGCAGACGCTAAAATACATCTAGGAATGAAAAAGGCTTAAAGGAGAGAACTCTTGTGAGAAGAGCATTGAGCAGGAGAAGCTTATCAGCTCACGGCGCAGATCTGGCAACACTCGTCCAGCGAAAGCTCAGGAGCGAGGACTGTCAGTGAGAGGACCGTAGTGTTGGGTACAAAGACAAGGTGCTCAGGTCACTACTCTGCCCAGTCCCCAGCTGGGGGCTGCTCTGAGAAGAGGGGGACCCTGGCTCCAAAGCTGAGGCAGTCACTGAAGGGATTTAACAGTTTTATTTAGCTACACTTGTTATGTTTAGGCAACAAGTCCTTTCTTAAAGGTATATCTGAGTTCATTTCATTATTTTGTTAGTACATCTATTTTGTTAGTACATCTGATCCCTTGATCCCCTGGTACCTGCCCAGACAAACACTATGCCATCCACCTTATAAATTTCCAGCATTTTCTCTGGCACTGATGAAAATAAGAAATAACAGGAAGAGAAGAGTGGTTCTGAAATACACTTTGGGGCTTCAAGAAAGATCTGAAGTGTTCCAAAAGGTGAGGGGGTTGGGAAGAGCAAGAACCAGAAACCTCCTACCTCATCTCTACCACTCCAGTAATTCAC